ATGCGCTTTCAATTAAGTCGATTATTCTGTGCGTATAAACGTAGTATGTGATTCAAAACGGAAGCATAAACCAACTTTCAATACGCTCAGAAATTCAAAAGTGTGTTGACTCGAGATTGTTTTCAAATCGCTTTTTTATTTCTCACATCGTTTGGAAAACATGTATAAACACATCACTCATTTGACGCGAAGTGAAAAAAGGCGGGTTTCTTTATACAGCCCGTTTTAAATTTGAATTATTATTATAACAAATTTAAACTGTTGTTTCCGTCCAATAAAAATAACAAAATGTTGTTTACTTTTCAATACGGTTTCTGCGAGTGCGCTTTAACGACACAGGTATAAATGCTTGAAAGAAATATGTGTTGAGTCAAATCACCTTTTTGTTAATGCCGTTCCTGCGTAGGTATAAACAAGGTAACTCATCCTGGTCATGTGAAAGCTGACAAAAGATGCACAAATATATAGTATTTTTTCGATTTTCTTAGACCCTAAAACTAATAACAAACTGCTTTCGATTATTTAATAGTATGTAATTTTCTAGTTTATGGGACAACTGCTAAAATATTTCCAAAAAAGTCGTTATTGGTAACATTAATATCATTTTTATACATATATACGTACGTATAAAATTTAATAGAAAATTTAACCATAAAATTTAGTTAAGTTACACTTAACAGCCATAATCTGCGTACGCCATTTCTTTTTTAAATACTCACAGATATTGAGAGTTAAAATTTGTTTATTATTTTATAAAGAAAATGATCTTGCTTAAACCAAAATCATATATGTAAACCGCGTTTTAAAACTTTATAAAAAACAAAGTTAAATTGAACGATTTTTCATTAAAATTTTTAACCTTTTAATCAGATTTAAAAAAAATAAACCAAAGTGGTAAACAATCTCACTTTGAAATGGGGGTGCTATTGATATGAACGATACTGTACATAAGTAAATATATCACTGAGCACCCGAAATGTGTAGTTATGCAGTGATTTTTTTAATTTCCAATGTTTTTTATTTTAAATATTTATTGTTAAGTTTTTATTTAAGTACTATCCCTGTGGGGAAAGTCTCTAGTTCTGAACTGGTGCGCTTCTAGTACATTTAGACCCAGTACTGGTTCGCGTTAAATCTCTTTTGCATGCAATCAACTGGCGAATTTAACATGGCGATGTCCTAGGAAGTGTCAATTGCCCCCGCTGCATCCCTTTTTCGATAGTTCCGAACTCGTCCTAAATTCTATAGTTCCGAACCAGTTCTAAAATCGACAGAAAAAAGTATCATGATTTTTAAATTTTTTGGTTCTTCCGTGTGTGCGATTTTAAATTATTTTGGAAGAAATGTGTTTTCAATTTGAAATTAAATTTATTTGAATGATTGTAAGAAATGTACGTTTACATACCTTTAGCTGTAGCTGAGTTTGCAGAGGTGCTCGCTTCTTAGATTTCAGACGGTCCCAAGATGTTGATATGTTAACACAAATTTTAGTTTTGTATTACCAGGCTATGAAAAAGCATCTGCGAAGCGCAGAATAGAAGCGTATTTGAACAAAAAAACCGCCGAACACATATCTATGTAAAGTAAACAAGCCCCCCGCTGCATCCCTTATTCGATAGTTCCGAACTAGTTCTAAATTCGATAAATAAGATCTAGTTCGTTCTGCATCCCTTTTTCTATAGTTCCGAACCATTTCTAAATTCGTCACTTTAGATATAGATTTCCAGTGAAAAAAACTGAATAAAATTAGTTTTTTAAAAGTACCACTTTTCGCCGATTTTGGGCTGGTGGGGATCTAGTTCCTATCAGACTAGTTCCTTTTTGGCGATAAAGACCTAGTACGGAACTAGAAAATTGATTCACTAGTCCGCGGTTTCCCTGCAGGGATATCTCATACTCCATAAACCATTTAAATTCAAATTTTTAACTGTGCTGCAAACTTGATACTACTCTGAAAACTGTCTTCAAATTTCAAACTTTTTAATAAGAGTTTTTTTTATAAATATTTCGAGTATTCTGTTTTGTAGTCCATCAAATTTTAGTGTAGTAAAGTGTAATCTTGAATCTGAAACGAAAATATTTAAATAGGAGAATACCTTCAAGTCGTGCGTAGAAAGAGCGCAATTAATTATTCTAAATTTAATGGGCTATAGAACTGCGTATTTATAAACTCTGATTTACAATATTGAAGTTTTTATAACAGTATCTAGAATTCTACTAAATTTT